ATGGCTTCCAAGCTTCCTCCCAATACCAGATTAATTGGCCATAAGTATTAGTTAAATGGCCAAGGGATGGATATCAAACCTTTTTGTAAAGCTACTTTCCTGCCATCTGAGCATGGTTCTGGAGTTGGTTCTAATATTCACTGAGAGTGTTCCTGAGCATGTAAGCAGGTATACACCAACAATCATTTTGCTTAGTAAAGGAGGGTATGCATTGAATGGTAGGCCTTAGTGAGTAGAGAAAATCCCTAACAGAAAAGAGACATGACTGTAAATGTCCTGTGTTAGTTTGTAGAGCAGTAATATCATGATAATTGTTATAAAAATGGGTCCTGGAAAAAGATAAGCGATCTAGCAGAAACTTTTTCAGTGGTCTTGGGTGTAAGCTATCCACTTTTGCCTTGTTTCTGCTTTGAGGGAAGATTGTTTGTTTTTCCTGGAAATCCTTAATTTGAAGTTAACCATAGATTGATAAGCCCAAGAATTGAGGAGTGGGGAGGTTCTCTTTAGTTGAGAGACATGGACCCGAAGTTCAATGCCCTATAATTTAACTGCTGTGTGAAAAAATAGAACCTGATAGAGCCCTTTTCATCAAGGCACAAGTGCTATTTTTAACTGATATCTCCTTCAGAACCTGCAGTCTCCAGGTTCCAGGGTATGAAGTATAATGTTATCATCAGGCAGAGGGTCTCTAAAAGCCTCCTTGACCTGCTAAATATAAGTTTTTGAATATTGCATTCATACTTTAAAGTATTGGGTCATATTAGAATTTACAAGGGCAAGATGTGCATGGGGTTCTATCATCGAAGGCATGGGCTGCCTAGTGATAAATTCATAAGGTGTTAATTTATGTTTCCCAAAAGATGTTGACTTCATTGTCATAAGGGCTAAGGGTAACACTTTAGGCCAAGGTACTCCTGTGGTTTCGGTCAATTTGCCAAATTTAATCTTAGAATATCGTTGGAACATTCGACCTCCCCTAAAGGCTGAGGATGAAAGAGACAATGATAGGGCCATGAAGTTTGAATAACCTTGTTTAGTTGTTTTATAATCCATCCAGGTAAAGTGAGCCCCTTGTCACTTGAAATTTCATTTGAGATTGCCCAGAATAGAAAACATTTTCTAGTAATTTCTCTGCTACTGTGGTGTCATCAGCTTGCCCACATGGGAATGCTTCTACCCATCCAGAAAAGAAATATACCACCACAAGTACATATTGATAGCACATAGAAGGAGACAGTTGAAAAAGTATAACTGAAAATGTTCAAATGGTCCAGATATTGGGGAGCAGTCCCTGGGGTTAGTTTAATGGTTTTAACCAGGTTATATGATTGAATATACTCGTCATGCTAGTTTAGAACAATCACCCATGATATTTTTTCATAATATGAAAAGTCAATTCTGTGGTGGGTAGTCACTTGAAGCACTTGCAAGAGTGATAACTGAGAGATCCAGGAAGCACGAGCCAGTCATATGCACCCTCCAAAGTCCTCTTTTTATGATAAATGTGCATCCTTCTTGGTGCCACTTTTACAATTTTTTGTCTAGTATACAAATTGTCTTAAGTAATCTGACTTGAACCTACAGTGGACCATAGGTTGTGGAAATTCAGGAAAATGCTTTTACCAAAAGGTTTAGTATCTATCCCTTGGCCATTTTATGGAATTTATTTCATGTTTTGGTACATTGGGATCCTTAGCATGAAAGTTAGCTATCGCATTTCCCTGGTATTCAGCGTCTCATGAGAGGGTATGAGCCTCAATTTCTGTGATAGCAACTTGTGAGGACACTAATAATGTAGAGGGAAGGTCAGCAACCTGAGATCCTATTTTATAGCTGTACCACTTGATGTTGAAAATCTCTCTTTCCAGGGGCACCTGGCTGGTTCAATGTTAGGGCACATGACTCTTGATCTCAGGGTTGTGGGTTTGAGCCCCACGTTGTGTATAGAAACTACTTGGAAGGAAAAGAAAAAAAACTTTGTTTCCAGAGCATACCAAATCATGAACTACTCTGAAGGCATACCTGCTATTGGTATAAATATTTGCAGTTTTTTCTTTTGTCAATTTAGAGGCCCAAATGAGAACCAACACCTCTGCAGGTTGGGCTGAATTAAGTAAAGAAAGGGCTCCCCTTCCTGAAAACTCATGTTGTGTCATGACAGCAGGTTTGGCTTGATATTTTCCTTCAGAATTTTTGGCATAGGAGATATCAAGGCAGAGTACTAAATCTGGACTAGCATTTAATAGGGTTTCTTGTAAATCTAATTTGGGAGTTTGATTTGAGATCAACTCAACGGTTATGAGTTTCTCCTCTGTTATGTAAGGATAGGAGAGTAGCAGGATTTAAAGAGTCGCAGGAATCCAGCTCCCTGCTCAGCAGGGAGCCTGCTTCTCCACCCCCCCCAACCTTGTGCTCTCTCTCTCTCTCTCTCGCTCTCTCTCTCAAATAAATAAATAAAATCTTAAAAAAAAAAGAGTTGCTGGAAAGAATACTGAGGAGACAAGAGTAGAATCTCACAAAAATGTTGTCTACTAGCTGAGAAATGGTGTGTATGCTGTGTTTGGCAAACTTTTTACAGCATGAAGAAACTGTAAATTTAATTCATTTTCCTGAACAAGTTTCAGGGAGAGTTCTGTAATTTTAGCGGCTGCTAAAATTCTGTAAATTTAGCAGCTACACCCTTTATAAACAATTTGGGTATATCCTGGTCTTTGGATGCAATTGTAAGCTATAATAGTCTTTAGGGCTATTTTTCCCTTCCTTTTCTTGAGTTAAGGGCTCCCTGAACCTGATTATTACATTCCTGAACAAACAACGTAAAAGGTTTAGGATAGTCAGGAAGTCCCAACACAGGAGAATTCTGTAAAGCCCATTTAATTTCAGTAAATGCTTCCTCCTACTTGTTTTCCAAAGAAGAGGTTCTTGAGTATTGTGCCTAGAGTGAAGAAGCTAACTAGGAAATGTCAGGGACCCAGGTCTAACAATATCCTGCAAGTCTTAGAGGACATTCCCATTTCATAGAGCTCCCCAAGTGAGTACAGGATCTTTCTTAAGGGTTTTCCGCATTAATGGAAAATGCATAGGATCCCTGAGAGGACATTTAGGACAGGAACACAGTGAGAGCTGAGTGGCGGTTTGTAAGGATTCTGTTTCCCATAACTGGAAGAAATGTTTACTGAGAGCCTCCTCTGGGTTTGGCTGTGTATATAAGACGACTAAAATACTCCCAGCTCTGAAAGCGCTCTTACTCTAGAACCAGCCACTGCCTAATGATATTAGAAACATTGGTCAGAAATATGAGTAAGGGGCGCCTGGGTGGCTCATTGGGTTAAAGCCTCTGCCTTCGGCTGAGGTCATGATCTCAGGTCCTGGGATCGAACCGTGCATCGACCCCTGCATCAGGCTCTCTGCTCAGCGGGGAGCCTGCTTCCCCCTCCCACTCTCTGCCTGCCTCTCTACCTACTTGTGATCTCTGTCTGTCAAATAACTAAATTCTAGGAAAAAAAAAAAAAAGAAGAAGAAGAAAGAAATATGAATAAAGTATAACATGGTTTAAAAGGTTCAAAAGGGGGACGCCTGGGTGGCTCAGTTGGTTAAGCAGCTGCCTTCGGCTCAGGTCATGATCCCAGCGTCCTGGGATCGAGTCCCACATCGGGCTCCTTGCTTGGCGGGGAGCCTGCTTCTCCCTCTGCCTCTGCCTGCCATTCTGTCTGCCTGTGCTCGCTCTCTCTCCCTCTCTCTCTGACAAATAAATAAAATTAAAAAAAAAAAAAAAGGTTCAAAAGGATCTGATGCTACCTGGGGGATGACCTGTCTGATCCCCATTCTGGCTCCTTCTAACTCCTGGATTCCCTGTTCTAAACCAGTGACTGGGGCCTCAGGCAAATTTCAGCTTCTCAGGAAACCACTAGCCCCTGTACACCCTGCTGGCTCAGAGTCTCCAAGAAAAACAGGTGAAACTGGAAGTCCTTGGTTCCGCTCTAGCACACCTACAGAAGCACAAGGGATGTCAAGTTGGTCTGATAAATTCACCATTACCAAAGTCATGAGTGATAAACTGTCTTCTTTTTGATAAGACAAATGCATTACTGGCATTGCTCTACCCATCCCAACATTTAAAATAAAGTTCAATCTCGATCACATTTCTAAAAAGGCAAGTGGTCATCTTACCCTCACTTTGCAGATGAAGAAACTGAGGCACAGAGTAGTAAAGTGACTTCCCAAGTTTGCAGCAGGAGGGTAAAGGGAGCACCCTGGGCCTACAATCTGGGCTTGCTGCCTCCTCTTCATCCATCCAGCCATGCTGCCTCTCTCAGGAACAAGATGAACTAAAACCTCCTCTTTTACTCTCCTCTATAACAAATAGTCGCCATGTTGGCCAGGATATTATGGGATATGAAGTTAGTTCACGTCATTTTTTTGGAAGTCATTTTTCAGATCATTCTTCTGAATACTGTAAGCAAAACACTGTGCTGGTTAGTTACGCTGGAGCATACAGAAGTGGCAGAATACAGTGGTTAAATTAAAGGAGCCTGAAGATGTCCTACCCATGGAGCCTTGGCTGTCTACAGGAAAGACACAGATAGGTCCATCCTGGTGATGGAAGAATCCTGTTGCCTGGAACAAGTGGTTCCTTTTCTCAGATGATGGTTTTTCCTTTCAACTTTCCAATTAATGCCTGGCTTTGTTTACTGTATTGAGATGGTTTATAAACCAAAAAGAGCGACTGGGAGCAGATCTGAAAGCAGAACTAGAGAAGAAAGTCTGGTTCCATTTTCAGAAGTGGGGCTGGGGAAAGACACATTTGGAAGAGATCTTCCAAGCAGAAGAAAGCTTTGTATTCCTTTCTTCATTCCCTTTACCACATTCAGGTCATGAAACATGTGCTATATAATTCAGTGTAGGGGATTTTGGGGTGAAGTTCTCTAAGTACCTTCTGCTGAAGTACCATACCCTATCAGTCACCTCTTTTCCTATTTACTGTTTCTTTCCCACTTTAGGAAATACCATTCCTTGATCCAGGATCAGGCTCGAGAGTTGACCCACCTAAGGCAAAAGATGAGGATGGGGAGAGCTTTCTCTTCCCTTCTCATCCAGCATGTCAGGAATACGGTGAAAACCTTTGAGGAGCTCCTTAGCAGCAATAAAGTTGACCGCTACATGGAACAGCACTTCCGTGAGCAGCTGACCAAGGGGAGCCTGCTGGCAGAGAGCCTTGCCAGCAAATTCAGCACAGGTAAGCTGGTCCCAGGGCTCAGGAGGATCTTCAGTCCCTCCCAAGGACCCCAGCCTCAGACAAGCCCAAACTCATCTATAACTGACTTTTCAATCTGATGTCCTGCTTTGTAATGACCATCTTGGAACCATGGTGGAGTCAGGACTGGCTGGAGAGGAACAATGAAGAGAATCACACAGGAATGGGGATGCCAGGATGATCACCAGCTCCTTTATCTCTCGCGGAATGTGGTCGCTAGGGCAAAAAACATCTCTGGGGGGTGATAGCATTTATCTGAAACTAACTGGCAGCAAGATAGGTAGAATGGGGGCAGCTGGTTGCTGTGAACAGAGCGCTGAATTAGGATCTGAAGACCATGGCTCTAGTCTGTATGTGTTCATTGCTAGTTCTGGACACATTCATACTTCTCTTGATTTCTGTTTTCTCACCTAAAAAAATTAGGTCAAGTAATACCAGCATGATTGTTCTAAGGATCAAATCAGCAATATTAATCAGTGCATTTCAAAAAATGATAAAAGAATCATGCTGATTTGGGCATGGTTTAGATACTGTATGTACTACAACCTGGTGGTGGGAAATTTAGTTTCAGGTGCCTTTTTCATAGAATATTCCCTAGAGCACCTGGGGGCACATAGTAAGAGCAGGCTTGAGGTCACTGTGTGGGTTTCTGATACCAGATCAGAGGCAGGACAGGGATGTCTGTCACCCCTACAGAGACAGGAGTAGATTCTGCATGAAAGCTGTGACAGGGTATACAGATGTGAGGCCAAAACCCAGCCTTTTGGCAGGACCTGGAGACTCTGGTTAGAGTGGTCCAGAGGTCTCTGGACAAGTGTCTCATGGCCTGTAGGAAAAATGACATTTTTAGCTTTTGACTCCGACCTAGGACAAAGCAAAAAGAAATGATGATCTCTGTGGTGAGTAAGTTCTGGAAAGTTAGGAAAGCCTGTCAGGTAAGTTCTCCAAAGTCTCAACCCAATGTCTCCTGAGAAAATTCAGAGTATCCTGGACTGGAAAATCAAGTAGTCACATCTGATCCCAGAGAAAAGTCAGTGTCTTTCTGTAATCTGAGGAATGAGACCTGCTTAAATTATAACTAGTCCTTTTTGAATCTGGTTTTCAGATGACTGTACAAGTGAGAAGAATCAAGCAAGACAGATGCTGCGAACCCTCAGGTAACTCCCAATTTTCAGGGGCTGTAGATCATATAATCTGGTGAAGGATTTAGAAGTAAGGGACAGAAACTCAAAGCCGGAGCTCTTACACCCCACAAAAAGCAAATGGCTGATTATAATATCAAATCATTACGTGTCCCTAGTGATGAAGTTGTCATGTTTCCTATTTTTTTAATTTATTATTATTTTGGTCCCATTCTCTATTAGTTCATCAATTTAGCGATACTGACCTGTTCTAACCTAACTACCCAGTCTTGTGAGTCTCCTGAGTCCTCAGGGACCCCCTCTGATTTCCCCTAGATCTTTAAAGACCAGAGTGAAATTGTATCTGGTTTTTTCCATGGTGACCCCAGAGGTGCTGGCAGATGTTAAATAGCTACAGATTTTCCTCACAAAAGAAGAAAAAGCTTTTCACTGTATGACAGTATTTCGGGAAGGTCGAGAAACTACAAGACACCTGGGAGGCCACATTGCCTTGGAAGCAGTTTTAAATGGGCCACAGCAAATATTACTGAAAGCATCATTGTTCACGGAGTGTGTCAAACCTTCAAAGAGCTCTGGTTGTCTTGTAAAAGAGCCAGGAGCATTATTGAAAGGGCTGAATGGGTCTTCTCTCTTCCTCAGGATGTTTGTGGCCAAGGCTCTGGGCCACTGTTGTTCTCCCCTGCTCCCCACTCTCCACTTCCAGACAAAAATGAACTGTTTGGCTTCTCCTCCTAAGGAACAGTCTCCTTGACTTCTGGAGCTTGTCTTTTGAGCCACCAGATCGTTACAGCCATGTCATTCAGGTGACCTTTATTTTTCCTCTTTCTTACCCTACCAGTATCTTAAGGGAGAAGCATATGAAGGGTAAAGTGACGGAAGTCCTAAGGACCATGCAGGAGGCCCAGCCCCAGACTCTGCCCCAGATACACTCCAGCAACCGTGGCCAGTCTGCTGCCCATCCATCCTCCAGCAGCACCTCCCTGCTTCACGAAGAGCCAGAAGCATGCCCTTCAGTGGATGTGACCGGTGAGCACCCAGACCGTGTCCAGTTGCTAGGTGCTTGCTCCTTTGTCTACACCAAAAGCAGGTATCTTTGCAGCCAGGCCCTGCAGATCCACCCTGATGTCCCTGGAGAGCACAGGCCCAGGACTAAGTTCCAAGCGTAGGCCCCAGGGGTGTCAGGTGGTTGTTTTCCATTCCTAGTCCCACACGTCCTCAGCCACCAGACCCTCTCTGGCACATACATGGTGTTGGACTTGAGGGGAGGAATCATGAGTTGGGAAGAGGAAGGGGCAAGCACTCCCTTATCATTGTAACCCAGTCATGTCACCTTTCACATCTTGGGCATGAACTTCACTCACATTGGGCCTCTGATCTTGAAATCCTTGGGGTAAACAGTCAAGGTTCCTATTTTCTGTTTGCCACTAAATATTCTTTATCATTTGTGGATTTGCAGAGCCCATCCATCATTCTAATAATTCAGCCACAATGTCCTCTGAACCTTCATTAACTGGGACGTGTCTTGGGTTCAGGCTGTATCCATCACCAGCCTGCCCCTCCCCAGAATCCCCCAAGCAGGGGCTTTGGGTAGCTGTGGTGGGGGGTAGGAGGAGGAGAGTACATTTAAAATCAAACCTTTATTTTTTCCTGGTCAGGTTTTCTTTAATTTCCCTCCCAGGAAAAGCATTTCTATTTTTAGGGAACTATAGCAAGCAAATCCCAGTGAGGACAACACCGAGAAACCATCCTTTGCCTCTGGCTAGATCTGATTTTTTTTCCCCTGAATTGACTGTTTTAGGCAATGAATAAACCATAGTAGGTTTCACCTGGTACTATTCCTGCTTCTCATTTTACCCTGAGGACGAGAGCAACATAGTGTTTCTCCCAGGACGATAGAAACCAAGGAAAGAGGAGTGCCTGGGTGGCTCAGTGGGTTAAAGCCTCTGCCTTTGGCTCAGGTCATGATCCCAGGGTGCTGGGATTGAGCCCCACATCTGGCTCTCTGCTCAGCGGGGAGCCTGCTTCCTCCTCTCTCTCTCTGCTTGCCTCTCTGCCTACTTGTGATCTCTGTCTGTCAAATAAATAAATAAGATCTTTTTTAAAAAAAAAAAAAGAACCAAGGAAAGAGAGGAGTTTACATTTATTGAGCACACATTTAATGCTCACATTATTGACTACTTTACATCTCTTGCCTCATTTAATCGGCACAACCAACCAATCTCTCAGGTAGGTGGTGGTATCCCAATTTTACAACACAGCCGAGGACACTGATGCTCAACGAAGTCAGGGAACTTACGGAAGAGCGCCCAGCTGGGGGTGCCATTCACCTTGAGCCTGCACAACACGAAAGCTCAGACGGTCCCCTGCACTGTGGCCTGAGCAGCCAGGGACGGAGCAGGGAGGCAGTCACTCTTCCCACACCTCTTTTGCTGGGTTTCTGGAGCTAGTGTTTGCCCCACTCCACTCTTTGTGACACTCTGCACGTGAGAAAAGATCCTATACACATTGCACTTTCATCCAAGAATTTATAAATATATGGGCTGCCCTTGCTATGTACATGACCTCCTCCAATGGGCCCATGGGGTTTTACCTACATCCCTGAACTCAGTTGCCCAAAGGCACTTGCTTCCTCCTCATCGCTACCCTGAGAGACAGAGGCAGAGGAGCAGACACACTTTCCCCTCACCTGCACTTCCTGCCATGACTGGTAGGAATGGTCACACTGGAGATGTGGCCTCTGGGGTGGCATTGGCCTTCTTATCCACCACCACTAGCTTTTCTGAGGGAGATGGAAGCCCTTCTTTTTTCCATCTGAAGTCATTATCCTCTCAGAGGGGCAATGGCTTATCACTTGCTCCTCCTTTGCTTTTTTGAGCCAAAACTTCTAGAGTATTTAACAAAAAGTGTGATTGATGTGGGAGCTTCCCTTGTGAGGCAAAAGTATCCTGGCAAGAGGCTGTTCCCCATTGCCTTCTGTGTACAGTGTAGGGCATATTTTCCGTGTTGTGTGGCTGGGGGAGACCGGGACATGAGAAGGCTGACCACTATTACTGATGGATTGGACCTCCTGTGGCCTTGGTTGAGAGTAAGCGGGTTTTCTGGAGAGGGGGTAAAGGAGGTTTGGAAGGAGCTGGGAATCACCTTTTTGTTGAGTGCCTACATTGTCGGGCATTGTGCTAAAGGCTTATGTAGTTTACCTTCTTCTTTCTTTCACAGTGATGTTAATTAATCGGTTATTAGGTAATGCCATCCATAATGGAAGGAGAAGATCTACCAGATGTTGACTTAAGTGCACAGTTCCTTAGAGGAACTTGACTTGGTTGAAGGGAACTGAGGATTCACTCCTATCTTCTCAGAGGAGAAATTGCCTACTCTGTGGCCCTTGGTAATAATCCTTGAAAGGGAGCTGACTCATATTTTTAGCTGAATTATGGCCCTGCTACCCAGGAGGGGTTTTTTTTGCAAAGGGAGACAGCAAAGGGCATAGCCAGGTTCTCATGGCATCATTGGTGCCATATATTTTTGCTTCTGCAATCCCCCATGCAGAAGAAAACCAGTCATTCTTTGGACAGGAGTCAGGCAATCTAAGCTATATTTAAGAATTATTTTTACAGTCTCGTGAGCCATTCTGGGTGGGATCCAAATCACCACCTGCCATCCTCCGAGACTCCCTCAGCCTCAATAGGCATCCAGAGTAGGAGACAGGAGGAGAGGGAGGCACCAGTAGCATCAACCTGTTTAAGTTCTCTGCACATTGGCTATTAATGGAAGCCATTTTCCCTTTCTCTTCCTCCTCCAACAATCCCCAGTATAGAACGGTCTCATGAAGGGTGAGTATATTACCTGTTCACAGACCAGCAAAATGCTCCATCTCCTTCATCTCATGATTTCTAAGAGGGGCAGTGAGACCTACTACTGGAGGAGACATTTCTGCAGTTCCTCCCTGGGATCATTCCAGCACTGGGAATCCTGGAGGGAGCCAGGAGAGAGGCCTTTGTTCTTCTCATGTGCACGCACTGGAACCATCAAATACTACATCTAACCACTACTTCTTTGTTTTTCCTTTTTTTAAAATTCAAGTATAGTCAGATACAGTTATATTAGTTTCAGGTGTACAACAGTGTAACTCAGCAATTCTCTGGTGTGCCTGGGAACTGGGTGGCTCAGTCAGTTAAGCATCTGACTCTTGGTTTTAGCTCAGGTCATGATCTCAGGGTCATGAGATTGAGCCCCACATCGGTCTCCATGCTTGGCACGGAGCTTGCTGAAGATTCTCTTAAGATTCTCTTTCCCCCATCCTCTCTCTCTCTCTCTCTCTCAAAAAACAAAAACAAAAAACAATTCTATACATTTCTCAGCACTCATCATGATAGGTTCACTCTTAATCCCCTTCACCTATTTCCCCCATCGTCCCATCACCTCCCCTCTGGCAACCACCAGTTTGTTCTCTATATTTAAGAGTCTGGTTTTTGTTTATCTCTTTTTTTCCTTGGTTCTTTTGTTTCTTAAATTCCACATATGAGTGAAATCATACAGTATTTGTCTTTCTCTGACCAACTTATTTCACTTAACATTATATACTGTAGCTCCTTCCATGTTGTCACAAATGGCAAGATTTTATTCTTTTTATGGCTGAGTATTATTCCATTGTATATATACACATCTTCTTTATCCATTCCTCTATGGGTGGACACTTGCTTCCATAATTTGGCAACTGTAAATAATGCTGCAGTAAACATAGGGATGCATATATCTTTTCAAATTCATGCTTTTGGGTTTTTTTGGGTAAATACCCAGAAGTAGAATTACTGGATCATATTGTTAGTTCTATTTTTAATTTTTTAAGGAACCTCCATACTGTTTTCCACAGTGGCTGCACCAGCCTGCATTCCCACCAACAGTGCATGAGGGTTCCTTTTCCTCTACATTCCCACTCGCTGACACTTATGTTTTTTATTTTAGCTATTCATACAGGTGAGAGGTGGTATCTCATTGGGGTTTTGATTTGCATTTCCCCGATGATGAGTGATTTTGAGCATCTTTTCATGTGTCTGTTGGCCATCTGTATGTCTTCTTTGAAAAAAAAGTCTATTTGTGTTCCATGTCCATTTTTTAATTGGATTATTTGGGGGGTTTTGGTGTTGAGTTATGTAAGTTCTTTATATATGTGGATATTAACCCCTTATTGGATATATCATTTGCAAGATATTCTCATTCAGTATGTTGTCGTTTTGTTTTGTTAAAGCTTTCCTTTCCTGCACAAAAGCTTTTTATTTTGTTGTAGTCCCAATAGTTTAATTTTGCTTTTGTTTCCCTTGCTAAAGGAGACGTATCTTGAATAACGTTACTATGGCGGAGTCAGAGAAATCACTGCCTGTGCTTGAGTTCTGGTATCTGCTCTAGTCTTCAGTCCAGGGATTACTGTATTCATTTTTTTAAGGCTGCTGTAACAAAGTGTCGTGGACTGTGGTTTTTTTTTTAAAGATTTTATTTATTTATTTGACAAAGAGAGATCATAAGTAGGCAGAGGCAGGTAGAGAGAGAGAGGAGGAAGCAGGCTCCCCGCTGAGCAGAAAGCCCGATGCGGGGCTCGATCCCAGGACCCTGGGATCATGACCTGAACCGAAGGCAGAGGCTTTAACCCACTGAGCCAGCCAGGCACCCCAAACTGTGTGTTTTAAAACAAACAGACATTTGTTCTGTCCAAGTTCTGGAGGCTAGAAGTCTGAAATCAAGGTGTCAGCTGGGCCATGCTCTTCCTGGTTTCTGGTGGTCGCTGGGAGCCTCCCTTGGCTTGTAGATGGATCACTTCAGTGTCTGCCTCCTGACTCCCTCATCATGGGGTTCTCTCACCCTGTGTGTCTCTTTATCTGTGTCTCCTCTCCTATTCTTTTAAGGACATCAGTCATGTTGGACGAAGGTCCACCCTAATCCAGTATCGTCTCATTCTAACTCATTATATCTGCAAAGACCCATTTTCAAATAAGGTCACGTTCTGAGGTTCTAGGTGGACATGACTTTTTGGAGGACGCTATTCAACCCAGTATAATTATCTTTAAGATACTTTATTTCTGACTTTCCACTGGTTTCTCCCTCATGTTCCTTTCTGGACAGATGTCAGCCGGGCCACTCCTGCTGATTCAGCTTCGTTGCTCAGCAACCATCCAGATGCCAGATCTGCCCAGCCCTCCTACCCTCCAAGCGGCGCCACACAACTGAGCAGGATGCCAGACCCAGGGCACCGGGGGAGCAGTGGCCCACGGGACGAGATGCAGCCTCAGAAAATGAATGCGTCTGGGCACCTATCCTCCTTCTCCTCTTTGTACCGGCCCAACTCCAAGCCCTCTGGTAAACACAAAGGAGCGGATCGTGAAGTAGAGCCCATTGTTGGGAATGAGCACATTCTTTCCCGGCCCAAGGACTTTTTTATTCTTCTGTTAGATCCTGGCTCACAGAACTGGGTGAGATGAAGGGGGTGTTATCTGGTGGCTCAGCCAGAGAATAAGATGCCAGCCCAGTGCTGGTCCTTTCTAAGTGCCTCTCCCATTCCCCCTACACAGGGATTCATGCTAAGCAGGAGAATACAGGAAGTCAGGGGCATTCTGAGGCACTCCACAGAGAGGATGAGCTCTCTGTGGAGTTTCACATTCGTGGGCTCCCTTTTCTCTGGGCTATAATCTTTCTAGGCCTACACTGAAACTGTTCTTAGAATTCCTAGCTCTGGATTCCATGGGAAAGGTCTTCTTCCTTAGGTCAAGAGCTTTTTACTGCAGGATGGGAGACTATTTCTCCAAGTACACTCACACATCCTTTGTATTCAACTATAAGTCAGTCTTGCCTCTCAAACTTTGCTATTGAGTTTAGAGCCAGGTGTCCTGGCCACCAGTGACTAAAGGTACAGCCATAAAGAGGAATGGCTTGAAGCATGTCAGTTTCGGGGACCCAGACAGTGCAACAATAAGACATTTGAAACCCTCAGAGAAAAACCTAGCCCTAAGCAAGATGTCCTGGTAAATGAAGCCCATTTTTTGCCTCTTTCCCCTTCCCTTAGTGCATCCTCTGCCTTTCTCAGAGGAGTCCCCTTCTCTCCTTTTCCTCCTTCAGGTCCTAACACCTTACCAGTCCCCTCCTTGTCACTCTTCACTGAAAGTGGTTAAAGGAAAACACTCAGTGTCTCTCATTATTCTCTGCCTATTTAATTTAATATGCATTTACCTTTGCCTTTCTATTGGTGGGTGGATGTTAAAGACTTTCAGTCATGGATCATCAGGTAAGATAGGTATGAGGTAGAGAGAGAGGCCTTCTGGATTACTACCAGGAAATAGACCAACTTTCTCATTGTTCGGCCAGTCCTACCTGGAGGCCTGTAGCAGATTCTCACCCTTGATTTCCAGCCCAGTGTCCATCTCTCTCAGATGTACTCGGCCTCTATCTCGGAGGAGGCTCTGTGGGGTTTCCTTACAGAGGGCCATCTTGTGTTTGAAAGCCCACGAGCTCTTTGACTGCTGCTTCTTGAGTGCCCAAGTGAGAGAAAGAAGTTGACAGAATTACAGGGATGGGAGGGATCTGGAAGAGAAGTTCTGGGCAGCCTCCATAGCTGCCCACGAGTGACTGGCTTTCCCCACCTCTTACCTCTCCCGTGTCTTGGTGGGATGCAACAGGGGCTGACCTACTGGAAAAGAATCTTGTGGAGATCCAGAACCTGCGCCAGCGCCTGGAGGAGTCCATCTGCTTCAATGAACGCCTGCAGGAGAGGCTGGAACACGTGCTCAGCAGTGCTGACCAAGGAAAAAGTAGGAAAGGGGAAAAACTGGTTCTGTCCACATCTAGAGTCTCAAAGGGCACATAGGGCACATAGGCTCCCAGTGAAAAGGCATGTCGGTGTGTGTGCAGTACCCTAGTCTTCCTGACAATCTGCCCAGAGAGGGAAGCAGGGCAGGCACAGTTGTCCCCACTTTATACATGAAGACACTGAGTGTTTTGCCCCAGGCAGAGCTGGGTCTCATGCTCAGGGCTGTCTGATACGATGCCCATTCATGTAACTCCCAACACTACCTGGTCCTGCACCTGGCTTATGGCCTGGCTGGCACATGATAGAACCAAGACTTCCACGATGTCCCCATCAACAGAGGGAGGACCACATCCCACTTTCTTACCACGGCCCCATGCCCCAGATACCACCTGCCACTGCCCATTACATGAAGGGCCCATAATCCCATACTTGCCACAGGAGGCTGTCACTCGGAGACCAGTACTTCCACATCCCTTCTCCCTTGTCAAGTTCAGGAGAATGGCGGCCAGAGCCCCTAAAACATCACAGTAGCAGCTAATTCATGGGAGAGACTGTCCCAGAGCTGCAGCCATTGCGCATGAGTGTGCAGCCTGCTCGCGTGTGACTCAGCCACATCACGCTCTCGTGCCACTGCATGAAGCCCCCAGGGGTTCTCTGTGGCTAAGGTTCTAAGGCTCTAACTTTGGTGGTTGCAGGAAAGTATATCTTAGAGAGCATCTGCTTCCCAGGGCTATGATTGTCTGAGTTTTTTAACTCCCTCTGATAATATCCACATCTGGCTTCCATGGGTAGAACCCAAAGTCTGTGCCTTAGCTCCACCACAAGAAAAGGGCCTTTGGGAAAGCAAACTGGAGTTTTCAGCTTACAGAGGGCAAAGCCCAAACCTGGTCACTTCCATGTTCCCCCTTTCCACAGCAGTACCCAGTTATAGAGACAAAGAGAAGAGGGTGGAAGGTACAAAAATTGCTTAGACCCACAGGAGCCAAAATTGTAATAGTTATTCTCAATTTGAATACGATGGCTGCTTCTTATAAGGTCCTATCTACACATCCCTAGGAATGCAGGAGTGAATAGCTCTGGGAAGTTCACAGTTAGTATATAAGTCCCTTGTTCCATCTTTGCAGATAACCAGGGAGTCACTAGCTGCGAACTGGATCCCTGCTTAGCGCTCTCTCCCTCCCTTTCTCACTTCCAGCTGAATGTGAGTAAGGAGGGAAAGGAATGTCAGCTTTTTTCGAGTAGTCAGTGAAGGAGTAGTCAGTGAAGAGTTCCCTCCGTCCCTGCAGACATCACGCCGCTCTGTCTCTCCCTCCCTCCCTAGGCACGACACAGTCTGCTCCAGGTGTCCCCCTGGCAACCCCTCATCCTTACTCTCAGAGTCACTCTTCTGGCTCTGCCTAGGATGTCTTGTGACATGATGTCTGGATGGTCTAGAAGAATGTTCTCCAGAACTTTTCCAGCCCTATCCAACAGCATTCTTGGCTGTGAACTTGGAGGCATCGACATTGACCTTTAAATGAATGGATCAAATTAGTAAATTCTTATTTAAAAATTATTGTCTATAGGTATTGAATACAAAGAGTCAAATTTGTGAGGAAAGGCTAAAACCAGTAATGGCCTAAAAATTCATAGAAAAGGTTAAAGGAAAAATGAGTTTCATCTATTAGCTATTTCTTCTTTTTTTTTCTTTTGCAAAACACTTCTTTATTACAGCAATATATAAAGCAAATATAACCTTTTTTTTTTTTTGAGATTTTATTTACTTATTTGTCAGAGAGAGAACACAAGCAGGAGGAGCAGCAGGCAGAGGGAGAAACAGACTCCCCGCTGGGCAAGCAGCCCGATGCAGGACTCGATCCCAAGACCCTGGGATCATGAACTGAGCTGGAAGCAGACGCCCACCTGACTGAGCCACCCAGGGGTCCCTAAAGCAAATATAACTTTAAATGTTTATGACCATGACTGTACATTACTATGACTGCTGGTGTTTTTCAGCTTGCTCAAATTTGGGGGAATAGCTTATATGTAATTCTTGAAATTCACTGACCTTCTTTATAAAAATGTGGGTGGCTCAGTCGTTGGGCATCTGCCTTCTGCTCAGTCGTTGGGCATCTGTCATGGTCCTGGGGTCCTGGAATCGAGCCCTGCATTGGGCTCCCTGCTCGGTAAGAAACCTGCTTCTCCCTCTCCCACTCGCCCTACTTGTGTTCCCTCTCTTGCTGTCTCTCTTTCTGTCAAATAAGTAAATAAAATCTTTTTTTAAAATGTGGGATTGAAATGCATGTACACATTTTTAAGAATATCTAAATTTTCACTCTCCTGACTTTATTCCCAACCTTGGCATTTTCACACATCCTTGGTGAGTTAACCAAACTTGAGGCCTTTTGTTACTAAGACCACCAGCAAGGTTATGTTTGCCAGTGGCAATATCCTTAAAAGTTAATAATAACTGTGGTCACCAATAGATTTTTGACCTAGTTCCTTCTTCCTTGAGGGCAAACGAACTTTCACCTGGGCATTTCATCCAACCCCTAAAGATTGTCCATCCTTCAAACACCTCCTTAAAAGCACTTTATTAAGCAGCCATTTCCATTTTAATAGTAGGGTGAGGATCGTACCCCTCAATCTGAAAGCCTTCAGCCTTGAAGTCATCGATTGTCTCAACTTTTAGAAGCATTTTGAGGGTTTTCAGCAGCCCAACATGATTCAGGTAAATATATGCATCTCCCAAAGTATCTATGAAGTTAGCTGGCTTCAGGCCTGTGATGTGTGCAAGCATGTAGGTGAGGAGGGCCCAGGTAGCGGGTGATGAAGGCCACACGTAGGCCCATGTCTCGAAACCCGTGGCCCAACTGGCAGGACAGCTCACCTTCACCGCATAGTGCCGGCAGAGATCATGGAGGGGAGGCAGATGCCCTGGATTCCGCCACCCAGGATGATTCTTCCATCACCAGGGTTGGTTTGGATTGCATCGGTCACCTTTTGCAGTCGGTCTACTCCTTGACCTGAAGAATCTGAATTCTTATCTCTGTATTCTGCCCCACAATACCCACTGAAAGCCTGACCTGGAGCTAGTTTCCTCCTTTGCCTCAGGTTTACGGCATCCTCTGCAGTCTCGCGCTTCAACCTCAGTGAGAATGAGGTGGGTCACGTTAAGTCCCTCCCTTGCCACACTTGAGCCTCCCTTGGCAATCTCAGCCATAACACCCCTCAACACCCTTGCACAAGCAGCTCATGGATTACCCACCAAGTACCTAAGGCCAGATTGTACCATGCCCTCTAGGTAGGTCCCATTCATGAGCCATATACAATGGCTCTATGACAACCTTCAGCAAATCAATCAAGATACCTCCCAAGTGCGCTCATGTGCAGCATACTGGTAACCTGAATAAAAGTATAAAAAAAACATCAGCTGGGCAAATCAACATCAAAAACGTGTGTCCACTTCCATATTCAAGGAGATTTATTGGAAATTGACCTTATGCAACCAGAGTGAAATGTAAAACCAACAAGTATAAGAATAAAATTCATACCAAAAAAAAAGGCAGAAACAAAAGCATCGGGGTGCCTGGGTGGCTCGGTGGGTTAAGCCTCTGTCTTCAGCTCAGGTCATGATCTCAGGGTCCTGGAGGGAGTCCCTGCATCAGGCTCTCTGCTCAGCAGAGGGAGCCTGCTTCCCTCTCTCTCTCTCTCTCTGCCTGCCTCTCTGCCTACTTGTGATCTCTGTCTGTCAAATAAATAAATAAAATATTTTTAATAAAATATTTTTAAATATTTAAAATATTTTAAATAAAATATTTTTAAAAACAAAAACAAAAAAGCATCCCACAGGCAGGGGTGGTAGTGAGAGGTGAGACATGAGGAGGTCAAAATTGACCTCAATTTAAATGAAACAAGAAAATGATATTGGAGTATATTAAGAAGAATATCAAAAGTCAGGGGGGAAAAACCTTCTACTGAATTAATGAGTCATATCTCAGTAGAATATTGCATTTATGTTTAAGTTAGTTTCATTTTTTGAAGAATGTGAACATCCGGAAACTGGAGAGAACTCAAAAAGAAATATCTAAAACTCTTTGATTTTTTACTTGAGAAGGAGCCATACGATCTATTTTAATTACAAGGGAATGAGGATTGACTTTTTGACAGTCCTCAGTAAGGGTGGGAAGGTGGGAATATGTATGCCTTGATATTGTACTTACATAGAGAGGATTGAACAAGCAACAGTATTTTGGGTTTTTAGAGGTGGTTGGTTGGCAATTTTGGCAGAAATGTATAAAAAGACTGCAAATGGCTGCTAAAATAGACAATGCCCAGAGAGTAGACTTTTAGAGCAGGTTGCACTGGGTGTTGGGTTTAGCTAGACAACCAAAAGGCAGAGGCTCTCTGGGTAAGAAGCTCTCCTTACATTCTAAGTCTGTGCTTGTAACTCCAGACAGTTGCTGGCAATTTGGGGGCTGCAAGCCCCCAGTCTTTAAGCTCTGGCATGCTGAGCCTCCCTCTCCCAGATCCAGCACTCTCCCAGAAAAGGAGTCTCACGGAACTCTATCTCAATGGTAAATATCCTCCTCCCCACCCAAGTTAAACACCATTTGTTTCCGTCTTCATTTAATCTACTTTTTTGTCTCTTCTCACACTCCTCGCAATGGTCCTCACCCTCCTCTCTCTCCATGGCAGCATCCTCTTCATAATATAGCTGCTATGTTTTCCCCATGTTAAAAGATCTGACATTGATCATGCCACTGCTCTACCCCCCAGGAGGGGCTGCCCTTATGATCTCCTCGTCCTCTGGGATCCTATTGTTTGACCTGACTTATATCAGTTGTGATTTCTTTCAGCTCACTGAGGTGGCTTAGCAGAAATCCTAGAACTATGGAGATCCAGACTAATCTCCATCCTCTCTTTCACCAAGAGGAGAAGACAATAACAGGATACCTCATGATGGAAATGCTCCATAGAGAGCGGAGATCACCCAGCAGTTAGAGCAGAGAAAAAAGGGGCAGTGGGGAACAGAAGGAGCCAAAGACATGCACTGGGGAAGCAGTGCTTTTGTTTCCCAAATCAGCTGGGACACTGTTTCCAGAAAAGGGGAACAGGTACCATTGAAAGACCACCCTGAACAAAGGACTCCCGTGCTTTAGCTGAGTCACTCTTGTTGTAGTTAGGGCTTTGGGGGTTTTCATCTCAAGTTGTTTGCATAATGGTGGGGCTTTTCCTTTGCAAGAAAGACTCCTAGGGAATTTGTCTGAAATGTGGTTTCTTGGGCTATATCCCCAGCTATTTTTTAAAATTCAAGGATACTTAATACAGTGTTATATTAGTTTCAGGTGTACAATATAATGATTAAACAATTCTATACATTTCTCAGTGCTCATCATGGTAGTCTACTCTTAACCTCTACCTACTTCACCAGTCCCTCCACCCACCTCCCCTCTGGCAACCACCAGTTTGTTCTCTATATTTAAGAGTCTGGTTTTTTGTTTATTTCTTCTTCTCTGTTCATTTGCTTTGTTTTGTAAATTCCACATATGAGTGAAATTATATGGTATTTGTCTTTCTCTTACTTATTTCACTTAGCATTGTATCCTGTAGTTATTTCCATGTTGTTGCAAATGGCAAGATTTTATTCTTTTTATGGCTGAGTAACATTCCATTGTACATAAATACCACTTCTTCTTTATCCATTTCTTTATGGGTGGACACTTGCTTCCATAATTTAGCAATTGTAAGTAATGCTGCAGTAAACATAGGTCTGCATATATCTTTTCAAGTTCATGCTTTTGTTTTCTTTGGGTAAATACCCAGAAGTAGAATTACTGGATCATATCGGTAGTTCAATTTTTAATTTTTTGAGGAACCTCCTTACTGTTTTCCACAGTGGCTGCACCAGCTTGCATTCCCACCAACAGTACACAAGGGATCCTTTTTCTCCACACCATCCTTACTTGCCAACACTTACTTCTTGTGCTTTTTATTTTAACCATTCTGACAAGTGTATATCTCATTGTGGTTTTGATTTGCATTTCCCTGATGATGTGATGTTGAGTATCTTTTCATGAGTCTGTTGGCCATCTGTATGTCTTGTTTGGAAAAATGACTATTCATGGCTTTTGTCCATTTTTTAATTGGATTATTTGTTTTTTTTGGTGTTGAGTTGTATAAGTTCTTTACATATGTGGATATTAAGCCTCTTATTGGATACATCATTTGTAAAATCTTCTCCCATTCAGTGAACTCTCTTTTTGTTTTGTTGATTTTCTTCACTGTGCAAAAGCTTTTTATTTTGATATAATCCCAATAGTTTAATTTTGCTTTTGTTTCCTTTGCCAAAGGAGACATCTAGAAAAAATGTTTCTACAACTGACGTCAAAGAGGTCACTGCCTATGTTTTCTTTGAGGAATTTTAGGTTTCAGGTCTCACATTTTGGTCTTTAAACCACTTTGAATTTGTTTTTGTGTAGGGCATAAGAAAGCAGTCCAGTTTCATTCTTTCGCATGTAGCTTCCAATTTTCTCAACACCATTTATTGAAGAGACTGATTTTCCCCCCTGTATATT